TGGATAATAATAATAAATAAATCTCTTGTGAGATTAATAAAAATTAAAATAGCTCATCTTCTAGCAAATGAAAAGTTGACATTTAAAATATTTAATATAAACAGTCAGCATGAGTGATTAACTTTTTCCCGTTAAATAAAGTTTTGTTTACTCTTCTGTACACAATTGCATTACACTTGTAGCTATAAGAATTATTCATCTTGTTTTTGATTTGCTAACTAAATTTAATTTATTCGTTTTTAAATTCCATTCCTCATATTTTATATGTTCAGACTTTATCAAGCAAAGTAAGTATTTTTCTTTCCTTTTAATATGTCAAAAACATCTTACAATCCATTTATTTAAAATATATTATATTTCCAAACTTTACGAAAATGTCTACAATTTGTGAATTTTTGTGATAAAATCAAATAGCAAATGTAATTTTTCGTTTAAAAATGTCAGTAAATTATTATAAAAATTTTTTTTGAGTTCTCGTAAACAAGCTTGTCTTGATCATCAATACAAAAAGGCATATGAAATTATAATATTAAACGTCAAGACGCGTTGCTCGACTCTTATGAGTTTTACGTCAGAGTTTCACTGGTTAGTCCGATCTTTCAAACTAGTGATTCCCTAAAGGGGTAACCTCCAGACCAGTCAATAGTACTTAATAAAAAGTAGGAGACTGAGAGCTGACTACTCGTCATTCATCAGCTCAACTACATTTTCTCATTACTAACTAAAATACGGCTTAGCCCAAAAATTAGCCAACCAGCACTCTGAACTCAACTTTAGACGCATACACAAATTTAATATTGGAATGAAGAAAAATAAAATATAAACAAACAATTACACTTTAAAATCATAAAAGTCGTAACACGTACAGAAAGATATTAGAATTAAGAATATAAAAATTGACGTTTAGTATCCCGTTAACGGAAACGCAACTCCGTTTCAATATTTTTAACCCCTTTGTAAAATATCTAATCCCTATCCATACTGAAAGTATTATTTGCAGATCCGTCATATTTACAATTTGATTATTTTGTTATCTGTGATTGTTAATGACATAACTATTATGTTCTATTATTTATCTATCACTCTTTCTCAGCTCTCACCGAACCGATTCCTTTCAACGATACGTCAAAAGATCACAAATCTATCTAAGTCTTCCGGAAACTCTGACACTTTTATATATATCTTAAATTAAAGGTAATGTAATAAACTTAATTATGGGAAAAAAAATGTTCAGACTATATTTTGTCTTCATGATGAAAATAGTTACCAAATGCTATTTTTGTGTGAAAATTCTGGATTTTAAATTTTACATTTTTAACTTTATAATTCTATAACTTATTGAAAAGTGTATGGATCAATACAATTTTTTTATGAGAAATAATATTTATATCGCTCTATTATTCGACAATACTTGATCTTAATTAGGATATAAATAAGGAAATAGCAGATCATGTAGCTTTAAAAATAATACACCAATTTTTTAAAATTAAACACTATCTAAAGATTTGCATCAAAGCATTTTTTATGATAGTGATTTTAATCACTGTCAGATATCATTATACCTGACCCAACTATGCCACGTCCTACTGTGCCGCGATCCCCCTATGCTGAGTGTTTTAAAGTTAAATTTCACTTTTTGTAGATCATAAACAAAGTTTTAAGACTATGGACAGAATTATAAATTAGAATGAGAATTCTAGTTCCTACAGAAACTCATAAGTCTAAGATTGTTTAAAATTAATTTTTATTAAATTAAATTATTTTCAAATTCCTATTTATCTAACAAAAAATTTAGTATATTGAAAGTAGAAAAATTTATCCTCACTACCACGCTTATCATCTTTTTTAAATCTATAAGAAAAATAACCATAACTATTTTCAACAATATAATTTTTTATAAGTGTTTTATCAGTATTTTAATTAAATAAAAAAACGGTAGCGTAGTGATGATGCAGCACGCTGGGGAAACGCAGCATAATTGGAACAAGTATAGATGTGATAAAAATCACTATCATAAAAATCTCTGAATAGTGTTTAATTTTTAAACAGAAATGTTATTATTCCAAAATCAATATAAACTCCTATTTTCATAATTCTTTAGTTATTTAAAATTTAGTTATCTAAAATGTTTTTATCAACTATGCAAAATATTTTTAAGCTGCAATTTAAATTGTAGCCTTTAGCTATTGTAGTTATTATATTTACAAGTATATGTATTTTAATAAACCAAAAGTTGTTATAAAAAACTAAAAAAGATTCATTTGTTTATGACATTTGTTTAATAAGTATAGTTTGATATAAATTATATTGTGTAGTAAATTCTAGAATATATGTAATTTAATGGGATAACTTTAAATTTATAAAGGTTGTAAATTATGAACCATGTTAAATTTTTACCTTAAAATAAAATCAAAGTAATTTAAAAAAAAAAATGTTACCCCAGGCGTAGGGCAAGTCGACATACCTTAGCTTAATATAGTTTATGTTTAAAAAATGTATTACCTAATTTAGAAAGCATCATCTACTGTCTTTATAAGAAATTTTTGATAAATTATACAGTTTTTTAATTGTTTTTTATAATAATTAAAGAGAACAAAAATATTGAGTGTAAAAATATTTATAAGGGGTCACAAATTTTTCAGTAACTGAGTTTAACTAATTATGAGCAAATTATTTTACATATAGAAATTTCATACAACAATAATTAAAAAAAAAGAAACCTATTTTATTTTTATTCAAATATCTTTTCAATAGTTTAATTTGGATACTGATTAGTACATCAAATTAGCTACTGAAGAACATAAAATTAAAAATACTATTTATTTTTGATGCTAAAGTTAAAACATTACGTCATAAAATAACAATATTATATAGTTTTTGCAAAAAAGATGCAAATGTGATTCAAAACATACATAAGTGTTTATTTGAATTATTTTCTAAATATTTTTCGTTGTTTGGTTAATATTTTTTATAATATTTCCATTAAAAATACCGAAATTATTATTATATTTTTTTAAATCCAAGACAATCATCTTGCCCTATTCTCTCCTTACCTACACTAAACAAATGTAATAATATTTTAATAAAAATACAAAAACATCTTATAATTTTAAATTACACAAATATATAAGCTTTCAAATATTTCACAAAAGTAAAATTTAATTTATTTTTAAACTAATATACAAATATTTTTTAACCAAATAACTTTAAATTCACTATTAATAATACACATAATAATTGGAGCTATAGTAGGAACCTATATAGCAGTGATGCTGAGAGATTATAAACAATATAATATTAATAACTTCCTCTTAATGGCAGTCAGTGGCGTATTTAGAGGGAGAGAATAGAGACACGTACCCCATCCCATTGACTGAGCCATGTATATATTTTATCAAGCAAAGTAATAAAGTATAATATCATTAAAAAAAGTTATTTTTTGGATACCAATAGTAACATGGGTTTATGTAATGTTAGTCGATATAGTTGTAGATAGTCGATGTAGACAAAATTTGACATCCTCGCAGTTGTCCTGTTAATGTTATCACCTATTTTTAAAGTGTTTATTACGTAGAGATACACACTATATATAAAGAAATATTTTTATTAATAAAAATGGATTCAAAACAAATAAGACATTTTTTAAAAAAAAAATCTTAAATATGTGTTAACAAGAGTTATGAGAAAAAAAAAAAAGTCGTTTTATGGTACCTTATTCATGGACATTTTTTGTGCCTCCCCCCATTATAAATTACACCACTAATTGCAGATAAGTAATAAAATAATCTAAACATAGGTATTAGTTTTCATACATAAAACTGCTAAGTAATATTAATTATTGAAATGTTAAAAAATTTTTCAACAACATAATGTATTAAAACAAAGAAAATCAAGTAGAATATGTACATAATTGAATGTAAGTATTCTATTGTTATGGAAATCTTTAAATTAAACAAGATATCTTTAAAATAAAGAATTTAATAATTTTAGAATCAAGAAAAATAACATTAAATTAATGAAATTTTTCATAGATTAAATACTACACACTATACATTAAATAAAAGTTTTTTTCTGAGTTTATTACCTAAATTAAGCGAAGGAATATCAAATTGCTCCAGGCGTGTGACAAAACGATGAATTAGTTCTCTTTTCTAATTAAATAAAAATTCTTATAATAAAAAATATCAATTAATTAGCTGCTTACAAAATGTTCTTTATATATCGAATATTTTTTTTTACCAAATTTCAAGTTTTTACGATGAATACTTTCTTTGAGGGATTCAATTAAAAGTATCAACTTGTTCTATCCAAAAAGCAATCAGGCAATAACAATTCAAAAATACAATAGTTTAGCTTTGAAAATTAAACTAAAATAATTTTGTAAATATATAAAAAATTTAATTTATATGTGCATTATCTATTATAAGTATAACTACTCATATAATATCACAATTTTCATTCTTAATAAATGTACAAAAAAATTTCTATTTCAAAGTAAAACGTTTATCGAGTGTTACTCAATAATGCTGAAGACATAATTGTTATTTTTTTTTAAATGTACAGGCGTTGAAATAACACCTACATATTTTTCAAAAACATTTAATCGAATCTATTACAATAAGTTTATAATTCATTCGATTACAAGCCAAGACATTTTTATACCTAAGAATAAACTTTATTATTTCTATAATTCATAAAAATTAATTATATTTTAATCTATAATTTTTTATAAAATAACATTAATTAACTAATTAATCGAGGTAGTATTCTAAATAAATCATACTGTATAAGACTATTAATAAAATTTCATATCATAAATTAACCAATTAATCAATTTTCCTCGGATGTCTCAATACAATTACAATATTTATTTGATTGCTGTATACTTTTTTTCTTCGAGTGAATATTTCTTTCATTAAAATAATAATTGACAAAACTCTAATTCAATTCCTTTGTATCGATTTTCCATAGTAACTGTTTTTTTTTTGTGTTAATTTCAGCACTTGACCCAGCCAGGCCAAGTTTTGAGAGCGATTCAATAAACGAAAGAGTCAATATTAACAGTGGAAAATTTGTTATTGTGATACACACTTCAACAAAATTTTTTGGTTTAAAAGAACCATTAGGTCATGTTGACATTTATTTCAATGGCGGATTATTACAACCAGCTTGTAATTACGAACCAAGTAATTTTTAAATTAAGCAAATAAGTTATATCATAATTTATTTAAAGAATATAAATTTCATAAACCATTAAATGTTAAAAACAAATATTGAATAATATTAGGTAATGCAGAATATAACTTATTAACTCTTGTAATAAAATATTTTTGTTAGATTAAAACCTCTAGAATGAAAAAAACTTATCTAACTGGCGTTAATAAAACTATTAGTTTGTCAGGTTTAGATTAAAATTAATTTTCCTCAAAAATTTAAGGTTCCAATTAGTTTTTAGGCGATTTGTATAACGATTACAGTTTTTTTTATTTTTCAAGAACTCAGACGATGTTTTAAAATAGATATTTTGCATAAAACCAAAACAGTTTAAATATATTCACTTACTAATTAACACGTCGTTTTGTAATTAATTACAGATGATCTAAGCAAATAATAAAATAATGTATTATCATTATATATGCAAAGTTTTAATTAAATAAATTTGCATTCGTGTCATACACGTTGACTTATAAATATATAAAATAAACTGAATACTGATGAGCGAGTGTATTTGAAAATAATTTACAAAAATATATAGATAAAAAGAATTGCAAGTAGAAATCATTTGAGAATTCTTATTAAGAAATAACTTACGTAGTTGTAACTTATAAGAGAAATTTTGAGACAACAAATAACAATTTAGTAAACTTTAACAAAGTTTTACCTCGGCAAGTTATATACAGTAAGTTTCCTTATATTTTAATAAATTATAAGCCAAAAGGCAAATTTGGAACAATTAAACTTGTTGACTAAATGTCGCGTCACTATTAAAAAATTAAATAAATAAAAATAATCACAGTTGAGCACTTTTGATTAAACATCTCCCGCATAGTTATGTGCATTTAATCCAAACTTAATTTAATAATATATATATATATATATACTATTAAATTAGTTTGATTTGATGTAAGTACATATTCTCAGTAAAATATTTAAACAACCGCTTTAATGAAATTGAAATTTTTGAGTGTACATTTTATGCTGTTTAGTATTGATGGTATAATAAAGATGTGATGGCTAGTGTGTATATAAAATTGAGTTTATTTTTCCTGTTACCATTTTTGTCTCTGTGTCAAGGATAATTCGAGAAATAATTGGATTAGGATATTGTATAGTAGTAAAGAGAGCATTGTACGATATTGTAAATCGGGATTTACACTGAAGATTTGAAAAGGCAACTATAATAAAAACGAAATGATAAGTTCGATATCTTGATGATTATTAAATACAAATCTTAAAAAATACAGCAACGCACACAGGTCGATTATGCGCGATGTAGTTATTTTGCGGTATAGTTATCTCAAAATGTTTAAAAAAATACGCTGCTTATATTCATTTCCATAAAACCCTTGTTTCGTGTTTTGAACTTTTAACACAATCTTTATAAAACTCTTTAACTTATTGACTTATCGTCCAACAAATTCTGTATAATTTGCTTATTTTATATAAACTTTGATTGAATATCGTAATTTGATTTTCAAATTTACATAATACTTTAATGCAAAAATCAAAGGTAATCTTTTAATAAATATAGTGATTTTAGTTAAACTATATAAGCTGGATTATATATTTGAGAAAAATGGGCCCACCAAGATTTTTACCTAAAAGGCATTTGATTAAATCCTTTTTTTTTCTCGCGAACAAAAAACATTGATGTATAAATTTGTTTTTCGCTTTCACTCTCTTCAAAATATACTAAGTGATATATCTACAAGTTATCAAGGATTCGAGACGACTTTTTTATTACTTATTTATTAATTTTATTATCCCAAGAACAGTTATGTTACAATTAGTTAATCTTGTATGATTCCAAGAAATTATTGTAATTATATTTTATTTACAAATAACTAATTTTGCTATAAATTAAAATTGCCTAATAATTTATTGATTCAAATAAATAAGTTGTTTTATTATTTACAAAAAAGAACTAGGTTATATTAATTTTTTTTTTTAAACTACATAAAAGGTTTTGATTTTTTTTACAAAATACGTAATTTAATTAAAGTTTTAAGAACAAAAAAGCATTTTTGACAACATAAAATAATTGTTCACTCCGATAAATATTGAGTTGCCCATCCTATTGAGTTATAGACTAGTATTTTAGAAGTTATACATATTTTATACCTGAGCGGGAGGAGTAGTGTTAGGTCTTGGACACTAATTGTAATTAATAATTGGTCACCATTTTGCTAAACAAGTAATGTTAACATTTTTGCTGTTGTGATAACAAATACAAATTTGTATATTTATAAAAAATATGAAATTATTTCAATAATATATTATTTATATAAGCTTAGTTGATACTTCAATATACCTATTTAAAAAAAAAAAATACACTTTTACATTATTATCATTAAACTTTGGAAATTATAATATATTTAAAATTTAATGATAAACATTGAGTCACCTTTATCAAAATGATCAACTATTTTAATTATTTCCTTATATTGTCTGTGTACATTTTTAATAGCGTTCATTCAGAATATTATGAGATATCATAACTCAGAATTGCGTAATGATAAAATTCTAGTCTATATTTTGAAGTGTTATTAAGTTTCAAAATACTGGTCCAAAAGATACTATACATCAGTGATTTCCTAAAATGGATAATTTTTTAACATTTAAGTTTGTAAAATAATATCTTGCTATAAAAAAAAATTATATTCTTATAAGCTATAAAAAATAAACTTAAAAATATTTAATTTCTTATAAATGAAGAAATAAATAGTACTTAACAAACCGGAGAAAACAATTCTCAAAGTACTTATTATTTCAGGATAAATATAGTAGTTAACAATAAATCAATCGCCCTGTCAAGAAGATAAAAGTAAAGACGTGTTCAATTATATCAAAATAGCAAACTAAATTTAAAAATTAAATGCACCTGAATTTATCTATAGTTATATTACAATCTACTATTCTATGTTTCTCCAACTTTATAACTTTTTGCATTAAAGGAATATCAAGAATTCATAAAAATGCAAAATCAAAAATATTAAAAATCTATTGAAATATAAAAACAAAAACAATCTTCAACCCAATTATAAATTAATAGACCAGACATGATTTATATGGACAAAGTTAACAATACTTCTGAAGTCTACTATATATATTGAACAATTTATCATTAAATTTTATTTGTAGCGTTTAATCTTTAATATTTTGCAGAGAGCTTTTTAGTCATTTTACAATAAAAAACATTAGACACTTAAGGGAATTATAAAATTTATAAATAGCTGGCACCCTATTGATTTCTAAAGAAACGCAGCGTTTAACTAAAAATTAACAAAATAGTAATATTTAAATTTTTTACCTATAATTTTGAATAACAGTGCGCTTAGTTTTCGATTGTTTATACTAAAAATAAAAATATATCAAATATTGATAAGTATGTTTATGACTTATATTTGATCACAGATTTTAAAACCGATATTGTTTTCGAAGTAATAATTTTATTACTTTGAGAGTGAGATCAAATTTTGAACAGTAATAATTCTTAAGTGACCCATGCATTAAGTCTTTAGTGCAGAAGTATAGATCAAACAGACGAAGGAGCTACTGATTCACTCAGAAGTGAATAGAAGGAATTGATTAGCAAAAGAAAAAAGAAACTACAATATCATAATCACTTAACACATTTGATTATTTACCTTCGACAAGTATGCGATTTACATGAATAGTATTCTACAGCCAACACTTATCCAAAAAAAAATGATTTTCGAGCTTTTGAGATGCTTAGATAATAAAATCTAGGTTTCTTATGTAACTAATATGCAAAAATCAATGATACCAAATACTAATAAAAAAATAATTTTGCATTTCTAACTAGTAAATTTCTTACAAGTAATGTTGTTCTGCTAACACAAAAATTATACTATTATACGCTATTTAAGAGCGTATAAATATATTTTTGACATAACTTAAATAATGTTACTTAAAATTTGTGGCATAGTAGTGTACTTTAAAGTCAGTAAATCTTATTACATATGACCATATTAGCATGAATATTCTTTAACCTATTAAAGGTTAATGGAAATCATCAATAAAAATACACAAAAAAGTTATATTTTCCGAAAAATTCTATATTTGATATAATATTTTAGATTAAATTAAAACGGTGTTTATTCGCAGAATATTTTCAATAATATTAATCATCCTTCGATTAATTTTATATATTATTTTATAGTCATATTATATAAGTCTCGCTTTCGTAAAGGTTCCACAGAAAAAAATTACATAGGCTGTTCAGTAAGTAAGGAAACGGGTTTCTATTGTTCGCATTCTTTGTAACAATTGACTTGTATCCTTAATTTTTATACACCTTGTATAAACTTTCCATTGATCTATAGAAAAATGGAGTATTTATATAGTTTATTTATTTTTACAGTATACACACTTATACGCTATAATTAATTAGATATGTTTTTTTTTATAATTTACACAATAAACAGTTTTAAAGCGTTTTCTAAGGCTCTTGATCATAATTTTATGTATATTTTGTTTAGTCTGTAGTCACAGTAAAGCTATAGAATATTTAATCAACTCGATAAATAACTCATCAGCTTATACTGCGTTTAAATGCGATACGCTTGAAAACTGCGAGCAAATGATAATAAACAATGATGAAGAATCGATTAAGATGAATATGAATATACCAGTTTCGTAAGTATTTTGTTTTATTCTTCGGAAATCGGAGAAGGGAATCCACAAAGAATTTTATGCCATGAGCTATTTTTTTTGTTTATAAAAGTAGTGGATAATTGTTTTTTGTATACTCGTCAGAACCTAGTTACAACACTGGATTTTATCATACTAGTTTAACCTAATAACTATACGCTTTATTGAAATGTATAACATTTATTAGTTTCTTAAATTATAAAAGCTTTTTTTTTTTTTAGAACAAGAGGATTGTATTTGGTTGTTACTCAAAATTAAAAATGTATTATACAAGATAACGAGCATTAATGGTAAGTGCTTGGAGTGATTGGGAATTTGGTGAAACCTCTCGGTATTTATAATGAGCTGTCTGAAATATAAAATTAATGAAAAAATGTTCAATAACTTCAATGAAAAAAATATTGTTTTATCTCAAAATTTGTATTTGCTGATAAAAAATCTATTTTTCCTTACTTTTTAAATAATTTAAAATAAAACGTACAAAGAATGTTTTCATTTAAATATTGAATAATAATTGATTGAATAATTTTTATTGTAAAGATATTAAAACTCAACAATTTTTTTCTGTAATTTTGATTAAGAATTTAATAATTTTTTTAATCCATATACTGTAATAACAATTTAGCTTAAATTATTTTATAATAAGAATGTTGGAATTTCATTTTAATCTTCAAAATGAGAAATGTTATTTTTTATTATACAACGAAACAAATGATATTCGTGAAAGTTTCTATTAATAAGTTTCAACTAAAAAATTTAAATTCTATTTTTATTGACTTTTAATGACTAAATATGTTTTGCTAGGATGTTAAAAACTCTGCTTTTTGGGATTGAACCGAATTTTCAATTTTACATTCGAGCCCGAACCGTACGTCAATTTTAACGATTTTCAGGCAAAATAATTTTTATATTATTATTCAAAAAATGCAACGTAATATTTAATAATACTAGTTCGAATTTTAAACCAAATTACAATGAAAAAATCGGTTTGATTTTTTTAAATTTTAGATTCGTTTGTCAAACTGAACTGAAAATCCAATGTTTGTTTTGAAAATCATTAGTTTATATACAAAGAGTAAACTTGTATTTTATTAATTTAAAACGTAAAATGGGTATATATTATAATGTACTGACATATATCAATAATTTGAACTATTGGGGATTTTTTTGTATGAAATAACATTATTCAACATTGCAAGGTTACTAATATTACTTGATGTACGTTACATATCTAATGGAAATATTTTTTAAACAGAATGTCTATTAGTAAATATTAATTGTTCTATTTAAGTGGTACATATTTTACATTCAAAAAAACTTTCGTAAAATGAAATTTTTGAGTGTTAATTTCTTTCATTACTGCCAGATAAAATATTTCATTTGATTTTTGTAATCTATTCACAGAAGTATTCGTCGATACGGTTAGATTTTTCTATACTAGATATGTTTTCTTTTTTTTTTTATGGTTTTATAAATTAATTTTAAATTAATTAATATTTTTTATGCAAAATATAAAAAACGAAAACTAAAGATGGAACAAGACTACACTTGTTACCTTTTATTGGCATGTTATGAATCACACAAGCAAACGAAAAATACTCAACTAAAAGAGTATGTTTTTATTAAATACAAAGCCATTTTTCGATTACTAGGGAAATTTAAAGTTCTTTTATTGAGTACTTTAACTGTCAATATTGATAATTACATAAGTTATAAAATAATTTCACAGTATTATTATCCAGTATCACATTTAATTAATTTACAAATAAACAATGATTGCAAAAAGTCACAAATTTTCGTTTTAAGCACTAAAATTATTTAAGATAAATATATTGAAAGGCGCACGCTTTTAGTGCTTCCCTCTAGGTACATAGAAAATCAAATAAGTGATAAAATAACAATTGGAAAAATAATGCAGTAACTTGACATTTGTTTTTGTAATTGTAGTATTTATATGACTAAACTTAAAATTAATTTTATTGCTTAAATTATTGTCAAGAAATAAGTACGTATTCAATAATGTAATCTTTGATTATCATTATATAACGTTACAGTTAAGAGGTAAAAAAATTAAATTATAATTCCTGAAATATAAACGATGAGCTAACTTTGGCTCTGTCACTCTATCTTTCAAATTCACGAAGTCAACAACAATAACGTATACAAAAGCATTTGATAAAAATTATACAAGAATATTTTATTTCAAAACTTACAAAAAAGTGAGAAAAATAAGGTTTGAATCCGTTGTCACATTGTTATGATTATAATGTTATAACTACCAAAAAACAATTAGAACCGTGAAACGTAAAAACCAATTTAACAAATAACGACAAAAGGCACATAATTTCAAATGAAATATCAAAATATTAAATAAAATTAAATATTAAATAAAACAAAAAACTAAAACATATTAATGATTCGTTAAAATTAACGATGAATTTAGGTAAAATATAACTACGAGCACACTAGTGTTTCCTAATGTAAAAACTATGTGTAGAAAATTCACACTTGCTCGCAATGACAGGTCAATTCTTAAAAAATTCATTAATAACGTTTAAATATCGTAAAACATACAAATTTAATATTGTTTAAATACCGCAAAATGGAAATATTATAAATTCATAACGTTTTAGTTATTTAAAATGCAATAATACTAGTAATAATAACAATAATAATNTACAAATTTAATATTGTTTAAATACCGCAAAATGGAAATATTATAAATTCATAACGTTTTAGTTATTTAAAATGCAATAATACCAATTAGTAATAATAACAATAATAACAATACTAGTATATTTTTCGTTTTGATTGCCATTATATAAAAACAATTTTGATTCAATCCCTAAATCGAAATAATATATGAATCGTTATTGTTAATAGTAAACAATAATAACATAAATAATTCAAGGGGTTTAATAATAACTTAAAATCATACATTTACTTTTGGAAAAATTGAATCTGTATAGGATAAAATTCGTTTGAGCTGTTATTTTACGGTTGGCCATAACTCTGGATTCATGTGCTAATATTTAATTAGGAACATATTTTAACAGATATCATTATTGTTGAACTTGTTTTATTAATATCATTCAACGATACAGTGACAAATGGACAGTGTTATATGCTCATATAAATCGCGTTCATTAATTGATATACGATTAATCTTCTACCAAAACAAATTACTACAGTTTATTCTGTTTACGCACCACGAAAAAAACATTTTAAAAATGCAACAAAGGGCAATGATTACTTCTGTAAGTAATGTTGTAACTTAAACACGAAAGCAATTAACTAACTTACTTAATCTTGACTTGGAAAACTGTATTTACCCAAACAATTTTTGATAGATATGTTTGGCATTGGATTGATTTCTATGATATTTGTTTTAGAAATAATCTTATGTTATCTAAATTACAAAATAAAAATAAGTATTACATATATCTTTTAAATACTTATTTCAATTTTAATTTTTTTGTTATTTAATGAAATAGAAGTGTTATTATTAGGAAGAATTAATTATACGAAAAAAATTAGATATTTGAAATATTGTAAGCATAAAACTAAAATGTAACTCAACAAAAAAATGTCATTTCTATTAATGTATATGATAATATGACAATGATAAAGTACACCACTGTACCCGGACGATTGTGCAGAGAATTATTAATTTTTATTATAAAGTCTTTTGTCTCTTTTTGGCCCCAAAATGTTTTTTGATAATAAAAAAAACTTAAATATTAGAAAACCGTTTTGTCAATATAATATTATATTGAAAATCATAACTTTTAAATAAAAAAAAAATATATAAATATGTATATGGTTTTTAATCTTCTTTTTCTTCTTCCTCGCCTTAATCACAACTACTTAGAGTCAGCCACCCTTATCCAAAACTTCCACTTGACACGATCTCCCACATCATCTACGCTCATATCAGCTGTCCTCATATCGTATTCAATAGCATCCCTCCATCTCTTTTTTGGTCTTCCTCTACCTCTTCTTCCTTTAACATTCATTTCTATAACTGTTCTTATAGCTTCCGATTCTTATCTCCTCATAACAATACCAAACCATCTAAGTCTATTTTCTTTCATCTTATCCATAATTGACGCTACACCTATACTCCCTCTTATATGCTCATTTCTTATTCTATCTTCTCTAGTCACTCCGCTCATCCATCTAAGCATTTTAATCTCTGCTACATTCATTCTTTGCTCTACTTTCTTATCAACCGCCTAACACTCTGAACCATACATCAAGGATTGTCTCACTACAGTCTTGTAGAATTTACCTTTCAGCCTCATTGGAATTTTTTTATAGCATAAGACGTCAGACGCTTCTCTCAACTTCAACCACCCTCACTTAATCCTGTATCTTACATCCTCGTCAAGCGGTGTCCTCGTACACCGCTCTTTTGCACAACTGTCCCTAAATACTTAAAACTTGCCACCTGTCCAATTGCATCCTCGCCTATTGTCACGATCTCCTCATTTCACCTACCTCGTGTTCTCCTATGTCAAACTCGTACTCTATATACTCTGTCTTGCTTCTACTTATTCTTAAACCCTTTTCTTTAAGAGCTGATCGCCATACCTCTAGCCTTTTATTAATTTTCTCTTATTAACACTATATCGTCAACAAACAACATGCACTACGGCATCTCTCCTTGTATTTCTCTAGTAATTTCATCCATCACTATAGATAATTTATAATTTTTTAATGATGTTGGTTGTCTCAGAAAAAGTTAGAAAAATTGTTATAAATGCGCTAAGTCCCGAGCTTATTGATAAAAAATAATTTAAGACAAAAATTCATGGTTTATCATGCTATTGTAAGTTATATAAAAATATTTCACCTAAATTTTTTTTTCTCATTGGTCAAAAAAATAAGATCAACAAGGACATAAAATATAAATACCATTCGCAAAAAAGGGGATCGCTGCATATCCGATGAGAACTATTGCTTTACCATCCCTTCTGGAATGGACCATGGGTAACATGAATATAATTTGCGTGATAAACATATATCAGTAGGAACTGTATCAACCTGTGCTACATATCTACTTTATGTATTAAAATACTCCTTATTCAATAATTACTCGTTCTAAAATTGTTATAAACCTAATAATCAATTTTATAAGAAAAGTGCCAAAAACTAACTATTTTTAAATTTTGAAAAAATTTTAAATTAAAAAAAAGTTTGATCATAGTTTGAAGTAAAGAGCCATGTAAAGTTTTATACTTGTTTAATTCCAGAAAACATAAATTGTTTAAAATCACAACCAATCGTACCCGACTAAACGTGTGAAAAGCTTCAAGACGCACGGGTAGTTTAAAGGATAAGTAGTTGAACCATATTGCATTGTTCGCGACAAAGCAAACAGATAATAAACACTTCTTTGGTATTGTTATTGATTTCAATGAGTAAAGTTGGTTACGAGTAGATCATTACATTGTACCCTCGTAACAATATTTGATAATGAAACGGCCAGTAGAATGATAATATTAAAGTTTTCGAAATGAAAATCACTAAAAGGCTATTTTCTAATAATAATAAGCGTCAACTGATTTTAGATGCGGGTTTAATCATTTTGTAATGCTCATTCGGTTATTTTCAATAGAAACATTGTTTTCTCAACTACATAATAGTACACTCACGGTCGTTTTTGCTCACCAAACTTAAGTCTCTTGCGGTTATAAATGTTACTTCTTTCAATATAAATGTGTCCAATCGGTTTCATGCTGGCTAACTCAATGAGGGGTAAAGCATAAAATAATCGATATCGTTGTAATCGCTTTTAATCTCTGGAATTGAACCGAAAAATGTCAAATGTACACATGATGTACTTAATGCTACTACATCAACCTTACTTACTATAACTCTACCAACGTTTCAATATGAAAAAATAACAAAATTATGTGTATTGCTGCATAACAATAAAACTCAGATGAAAATTAATAAATGGATAAATTATTAAAGTAGATCGAAATTTTATCAAATTTTAGAAACTAAGTAATATGTATTAAGGTTTTTTTGTGTGAAATTTTTAATAGAAAAAACAGTAGGGTCCTATTCAGAATTAATTCTAATGAATAATGTTTGTTTTAGGTTTTTATGAGCATGTTATTTAGATTTAATTTTGACTTAAGTACATTATTTATACATTCATTCATATTTAATCATTAATATGGTTAATAATGTATTAAGATTATGTTGTGATCTAAAATTACAGTAAAGTATTAAAAAAAACAGGAAATATTTTATCAACTACATTAATTTAATCAATAAAATATCAATTGTAATTTTTATACATAATTATTTATTTTTAAAAATTTTGAACTTATTATATATATTGTATGTTTTTGTTATTTTAACGTTATTAATTTAATAATAACTTTAATTTTCATAAAATTATAAAAGGAACAATATTGGGGAACTCTGTTTTCTAAAAATTAAATAGGTAGAAAAGTTTATTTAGCGTTTTTTTATTATTTTAATTTATCTAAAGTTTCAAACAATTGAACTAATGTTTTCTAGATTACTTATATGTTTATGTAAATACATACTCTGAAGAAAAGTATACAAAAATAACATTAGAGTACTTAGAAATGAGTATTTAATGTTTTTCCATGCCTCGTGTTTTCTTATAAATTCAATATTATTTTTTCTATTTGCTAAATGAGATACATATTCAAGTCCTTTATATTGCATTTAAATTTGAAAGTAAATATGTAGTAACAGATGCTCCTGTGTATTTTTAGAGAAACAATTTGAACTATTTGTATTGGACAGTACTAAGAAAATTGCATCTATTTATATTTATTACTTCTCTAAAAATGATTATAAAATTTTCTTGTATTTCATTGAACACTGTGATTTTTATTTCAGAATGATATAAATATTTACTGAAGTAAAACACTAGTCTAGGCAATAATATAATTTCTGTTTTTGAAATTTTTTCTAATTTTTACATGTTCATATAAGGAACTTTACAAAGTTCACTAAATGTTCATTTGAAACGTAACCGTAACATAATAATTGTTTATAGTTTTGAAACGTCCCAAAGTTGTTCTGCGGAACACGGCATATAGGGTTTTAAAAAAGTGTCTGCCAACAGGTTTTAGATACTACAATATTAAAGGTTTTCGGTTTCATAAAAACGTTGTAGAAATGCTAGGGTAACTTTTTCTTGAAACCCGTCGGACATGGGTTAACAGAAGCACACAAATTGAAGTAAATGTCGATAAAAGGAGTCAGCTGTGTGATATTGATTTGAATGGCTGGTGTTAAAAAAAAAATATGAAAATACACATGTTATATCGTTTTAGTTTGTAGAACAACACAAATGAACCAGCGTGTTGTTAGTATATAAGTAAGGCCGTGGTTAGAGAGGACAACTAAAGCAGTGTCTTAGAGCGCCAAAAAATATGATTGCCCTAAGATACCAGTGATAGTTAGCACGGTACTGTATGTAAGTTGTAGATAGTAATTCTTGAGAATTGTTTAAAATCATTTCAAATACATTTACAATTGATGTCAAGTCAAATATGATGTAATACCACATTCACAAAATAAATGATAAATGGTCACACTTGTCATGACACAATAACAACTGGATCATCTACAATGTGGAATCACCTTAACCGACAAACACTAAGAAGCAAACCACTGGTCAGATACTATTTGGCGATATATTGTATCTCACACCATTCACTCATACACTTAAACACACGCTTTGTACCTCAAAAAATACATATTATAAATTGAAAACACTTTCGTTTTTATTTGAACCAAATATATGAAATATAGCATAAGTTAAAGAAAATCTATTATGTATAAAATTTAATATTAGAAAAGAAAAATATGTTATGATTTATGATATGTTATTAATTATAAAACAAACATATATTAAATGATGATATACTTAGTTTATTCTAAATAAAAAGTAATGAAAATATTGTTTAAACACGTAGTATTTTAGAGTTTTTTAAATTATATAGTTTTAATATTTACAAACATTTAAACTTCTCAGTAGTTTCTGAGAAAATAGTGTTGGGTTTGATTTAATTATTGAAATTGCAAACATAGCGAACGAAAATTTTTTATCATTTTTTGATTTGCCTTCCCTTTTGAAAACTGAAATGACGCTACTAACGATTGATATGTTTTAGCAATAACTAGACCATTCAAAAACGCATTCCTTATATTTTACCACTAACTAGCAATTAAAAATGTAATTCTTAAACTTTTGAAAATACTTAAAATTAAAAAAATTAAATTAAAAATCAATACTTTCATAACGTAATATTTAATATTAATGTATAATTAAAGTACCAAGCATAACCGTATCACAGCAAATTGTATCCAATAATAATATTTAATATGTAGTTAATAGATAAACCGATTCTT